CAAACAAAAAACCCCAAATAACCTAATTTTAAAATGGGCAAAGGACTTGAATAGACATTGCCCAAAAGTAGACATACATTACTATATATGGCCCACACGTATATGAAAATATGCTCAACGTCATTAATAATCAGGGAAGTGCAAATCAAAACCACAATGAGACATTACTTCATACCTGTTAGAATGGCCAGTATCAAAAAGATAAAAGGTAACAAAAGTAGTGGCAAGGATGTGGTGAAAAGGGAACTTCTGTACATTGCTAGTGGGGATGTAAATTGGTACAGCCACTATGGAAAATAGTATGGAGGTTCCTCAAAATTTAAAAATAGAACTACCTCACAAATGATGTATCTGATAAGGGGTTAATGTCCAAAATATACAAAGAATTCAACTTAAAAAAAATTAAAAAATGGGAAGAGGATCTGAATAGACATTTTTCCAAAGATGACATACGGATGGTCAACAGGCACATGAAAAGATGCTCAACATCACTAATCATCATATTAGCCAGGATGTGGAGAAAAGGGAACTTTTGTTCACTGTTGGTGGGAATGTAAATTGGTGCGGCCATCGTGGAAAGCAGTATAGAGATTCCTCAAAAAACTAAAATTAAAATAGAACTACCATATAACCCAGCAATCCTACTTCTGGGCATTTACCTGAAGAAAATGAAGACACTAATTAGAAAAGATATATGCAACCCTATGTTCATTGTCACATTATCTACAATAGCCAAGATATGGAAGTAACTTAAGTGTCCATTAATAGATGAATGGATAAAGAAAATGTAGTAGATAAACACAATGGAACATTACTCAACCATAAAAAATGAAATCTTGCCCTTTGCAACAACATGGATGGACCTAGAGGGTATTATGCTAAGTGAAATAAATAATGCAGAAAAACAAATACTGTATGACTTTAGTTGTATGTGGAAACTAAAAAACAAAACAAATGAGTAAACGTAACTAAATAGAAAGATAGAAACAGAGAACAAAGAGCTGGTTGCCAGAAGGGAGAGGGGTGGGAGGATGAGTGAAACAGATGAGGCAGATTAAGAGGTACAAACTTCCAGTTACAAAATAGATAAGTCACAAGTATGAAATGTACAGTGTGGGGAATATAGTATAATTATGTAATACACTTGTATGGTGACTGATGACAGCTAGACTTATCATGGTGATCATTTTGTAATATATAGTAATATCAAATCACTATGTTGTATACCAGGACTAACATAGTGTTGTAAGTCAATTACACTTCAAAAACAAACAACCAAACATAGAAAAAGAGATCAGATTTATGGTTTACAGAGGTGGGGTGAGGGAGGGGGAACTGGATGAAGGTAATCAATAGGTACAAACTTCTATTTATAAGATAAATAAGTACTAGAGATATAATGTAAAACATGATAAATGTAATTAATGCTGCTGTACATTATATATGAAAGTTGTTAAGAAAGTAAATCCAAAGAGTTCTCATCACAAGGGAAAATATTTTTTTTAATTTCCTATTTTCTTAATGTATCTATATGAGATGATAGATGTTCACCAAACTAATTGTGCTAATCACTTCATGATGTATGTAAGTCAAATCATTATCCTGTACACCTTAAACTTACACAGTGTTGTATGTCAAGTATACCTCAATAAAACTATAAGAAAAAAATAGAACTGCCATATGATCCAACAATCCTACTTCTGGATATATATCCAAAGGAAATGAAATTAGTATTTGGAAGAGGTATCTGTACTCCCATGTTCAGTGCAGCATTATTCACAATAGTCAAGATATGGTTGGAAACAACCTAAATATCCATTGACAAAGAAATAGATACAGAAAATACAGTATATGTGTGTGTGTGTGTGTATGTGTATATGTGTGTGTATGTGTATATGTGTGTGTGTATGTGTATATGTGTGTGTGTCTGTGTGTGTGAGATGGAATATCATACAGCCTTTAAAAAGAAGGAAAATCCTGCCATTGTGACAACATGAATGAAACTGGAGGACATTATGCTAAGTGAAATAAGCCAGACACAGAGAAATAGATACTGTATGATCTCAGTTACATGTAGAATCTAAAAACAGTCAAAGTCATAGAAGCAGGGAGTAGAACAGTGTTGGCCAAGGGAGAAAAAGGGAGATGTTAGTCAAAGGGCACTAAGTTTCATGAAGTCTATCTGGATCTAGGTGTGGCCCTTGTTCTGATATCAGAGGCCCTGAATATCAAACCTGTGTATGGGCAAACTGCATTTTTCCCTTGGCAACCTTACACCTCTTTAAGGCTAAAAGCTTTAGCAGATGGATGTGAAGAGGCTAGAAAAGAAGAGCAAAGAGATTTCGTCCACATATTATAACAAAGTAGGACTTCAAGGAATCTTTATATTATCCAGATAAGCCTTCAGGATTTGTGAGAGACAAGTAAGGTCTGAGGCATTACTGTCCATTACTGTTTTTCTTTCCAAGTGAAGTAAAAAAGGTATTGGCTAGTTTCATTAACTGGAATACTAAGGAATGCACTGCATAAATCAGTTACAGTAAAGAATTTGCTTCCAGTGGGAATGGGTATTAGCAGTGTATGAAGGTTAGGAACCCCAGAGTGTTGAGGGATAACAATGTTTTTTATCGCTCAAAGGTCCTGGATAAGCATCCACTCTCAGCCCTTAAGTTTTCTTGCTAGTAAAGTGGGAGTATTACAAGGACTAGTACAAGGATGAGGTCTTGAGCTTTATAATCTTCTATTATGGGCTATATACTTTGAAGGGAGTCTTTACTTATAGAATACTGACTAATTCTGGGCAGAGATTTTGAGGGATCTCTCTGAATCTTGATGGGAGGTGAGCTGTGAATTTTGCCAATATCAGTTAAAGATTTTGCCCCTAAGGAGGATGTAGCTGAATCAATAAAGACAAAACATCAGGGTTTCTAGAATCAGCTCTAGAACCATCAGAGATGGAGCAAATAAAAGATGTCAAGGGGCCATTTAATCCATCTAGTTGGTTACTTTGACGATCACTATCAAGTTCTAGAATTATTTCTCCCTTTGGAAGAAATTCCAGCATGATACTTCTCTAAGAAATCTCAGCCTGATAGATGGATGGGGTGGAGGAACTAAGGAGAAAAGAGTGTCTATCTCTCAAAGGGCCTAAACAAAAGGAAATGGGTTAGAGACATGCATCTCTTGAAGCTCATCAGAGATCCCCACTTTTTGAACTGTTTTAGTATTTTGAGGCAGGGGCTATTTTATAGTAGTGGAGTTGAGCACTAAGGGTGTGGCTGTGGTGTCAGGACTGGAAGAGATTCATCCTCAATTTGGAGAAATGTTTCTCCAAGTTGATTAAGATGGATGATTGGTAAGAGCCTCTAGTTTCTCAGACCCCCATCTTTGAGAATTGGGAAGGCATTGGAAAGGCTGGTTAGAGGGCTGAAAGTGCCTAAATCACTTAAATTTATAACAATCTCTTTTCCAGTGTCCCAGCTCTTTCCAATTATAGAAGAAACTAGGAGGGTTTTGTTTTTTTAGGGGCCATCATTTGCTGGAGTCGAAGATTAAGAATTTTAGTGGTCTTCCTTTTAGATGACTCATCTAGAATGTAAGAGAGGAAGTTTGTCACATTAATTAAATCTGGAGTGGACAGTTTCCTGTTTCATCCTGGCCCTTTTTACTAGAAGAGAAACGTCCTGGTTCAGCCCATTAATAAGCATAGAATTAAAAGCTACCCAGGTGGAATCAACAGCTGAAGGAAGACCAGAATTTTCTTTAAAAATCATCTGAGGTCAATTATAGTAGTCATGAACAGATTCATCAGATTTTTTTGTGTGTGCAAACCTGCATTTTGCTATAATCAACAGGCTTTGGGAAAACCCTAGGAATTGCTCCATGAAATTCCCTAGTAATTGTCCAAGCCTGATCATATAATAAGTTAGCAGGCTGGTCTCCCAGTTGCAATTCTAGAGACTTTTCAGGATTTTCCTAATTAGCTGTTTTCATCCAGTGCTAGGCCTGGCCTTTACCAACAAGCCTATGAACTAACTGATGTAAGTCAGAGAAATAGGTTGACAAGTTTGAATAACTACATTAAATTCCTCAGCAAATCTATGAAGATCTTCAGTTACTTTGGGAAAATTTTTCACTATGGCTCGCAGTTCAGCCTTAGTCCACAAAATATAAGAAATTCAAGGGTTAGCCTCTGGATCCTCGGAAGGCTCAATTTTAACAGGACAGGTTCTGATAAGTTCAGAGGAAAAGGGCGTGGGGAGGGTTTCAGACAAATAAGGAACTTTGGTGAGAGAATTAGTAAGGAGGAGCTGAGGTTCTAGAGGAGGTGTAGGCAGTACAGAAGGGAAGGAGGAAGATGGCCCTGGAGGTGAAGCCTGAGCATAGGGAGCCAAGGAAGAGGAGCACAAGGCTTCCAAAGCCATTTTATCTTTCCTTAATTATTTGTTTGCCTCAATTAATCTTAAAATCCTATTTTGCAGAGAGGCAATTTTAGGGTCCTGGTGCTATTTGGAGGCCTCAAAATATCAATCAAAATAGGTATTTCACTCAGTTTTGGAAATCTCAGAGCTATGGTAGTCCAATTTGGTTTTAAGAAAATTGAGTTTCAGGATTATTTCCCTATAATGGCAATTGATATTCTAAACTATCTTTGGTTAAGTCAGTCCATTTTGTTAGAAATGCACATAAGCAAGGACAAATGAATGAAGTTATATTCTATTAAACACATTCTATTCCTTGTAATTGGGGTCCAGACTAGGAATATGACCATTGGCTTTGGTATAGGCAAATGCTTTTGCATTCAAGTTTCAGACCACTTTCTGCCTCTTGCTGAGCATTTCATTTCCTTTCCTGAAATGAAGAGGACAACAGTATATAGCTAGTGATGACTTGGGGACCTGGTACTTTGATAACATTAAAAGGATAATTTCAAAACATCAGAATGTGAAACATCTAGTTAAACACACATTTTGTGTTGTTCTTAGTCATGATCAATTTAAATATATCGGTGTTACTCATAACCAAAAGACATTTTTATAACAAGGGAGAAATACTTAACTTCATTTATTTAGAATCAATAGAAACAGAATTATTAAAAGAGCTCTAAATTGAATAAAAGTAGAATCAAAATAATCAATTAAAATTGCAGCTATCACAGCTATCAACAGATTACATGTAAAGTTTGGTAATAATAGAAATATTGGCACTTAATCATAGTAGAGCTTGAAAATATTAGCAGCATGTAATATTGTGGCCCTACTCTGTCTAGAGCAGTGCTTTGATCATATTTGTTTTCACTGAGGTTTAGCTTTAATTAATACATCTACATCAGCTTTGTCTGCTTCTCCAAGACTTTTTTGATGGCTCTCAATGAGGACATTGTCTTCCTTTTTTCGGGGTCTCTGGGAACCACCATCTCTGTGGGCTATAGAAGCTCCCAGGGCAACAAAATTGTGCACATCCTGCAGCTTCTTCCGTAGCCATTCCACTCTTTCCATTGAGTTCAGATGTTTGCCCAGATTATGCATAAACTGTATTTCACTCACAGATCTCTTCCTGGAGGGAACAGAATCAGAGAGGATCACTCCACTTAGCTGCCCTCTTCCAAATCATAAAGCCAACCTTAAAAATCCAATTCCCATGACCTCACCATGCAAGGCTACAATACTCACTTAATAGGCTTCCCATCAGATCTTGCAAGAAAACAAATTGCAAACATGACAACCATTATTTTAACCATGTCTTTTGCAGACATCATCTTCACTAAAAGAAAAAGCAAAATGGAGGTTTTTAAAAATATTTGTAATATTTCAAATGATACAATTATATTTGTAGTAGTTTATATTTATAACCATGTAACTTTGCACAGAGTGTGACAGTAACTAATTGGATTGGTTTTCATGAGAGACTTTTGGAATCAACCTCTTTATTTCACAGATACATTAGTACTTTTACTAATCATATTATACATACACATAATTGGACTTAGAAATTAGATTAGTTTTACTTTCTTAGGTATCTTTTTGAGAGTTCTTGCTCAAGTTTTAATATATAAATGTTAAGCACATGAGGAATCAAAAAGCTTGCTTTTGAGAATTTCTTCCCACATTTTGTGTTAGTCATGACTAAATGCTCATATTTTGCTTGAAAATGGCTACTTCTCTTAACTAGGTAAATTGTCAACACTTCATTTACTTAGAAAATCTCTTTTTCGTAAGTAAACTTCATTCAGGAACTGCAGTGACAACCATAAATACCAAAATAGGTTCTGATTTAGAGATGTTTATGAATTAACATACACTTCTCTTACCATTAAAAAGAATGTATCAAAACATTTAAACATCATCTAATTAATTACTTGTTATGTGAACCTAGAGCTTGGCTGCAGATAAAATGCTTGCCTGTATCTTTTCAGCTTATTTTATTAACAACTTTATTTGAGTATAATTTTCACTACTTTCTTCTTTTGCTTATAAAGCTTTTCATCTCAAAATAGAATAGTCTTTAATTAATCTGCATTTCAACAATTGTAAAGCCTATTACCATAGAAATGCCTTTTCTTAATACTTAATGTTCTCCATTTTAACATACACATAGGGTGGCTACGTAAAGAGAAACTGCATCATTTAAAAGTAGCATAAGAAACATTATAATCTATTTATTTTCACTGTGCAATATAAAGCTATTGAAGGAGCCAGAAAGAAATATTCTTCATTTTTGGTTTATGTTAGAAATAATCAGTGTAGCTAGAAGACAGGAGCATTGGTGTCTTACTCTAGCTTTGTCACATTCAGCTACTGTCTCTGCCTTGCTTTCTTGTTCTTAATAGAGAGATGAGCATCTTACCAGAATGTCACTAAAAAGCTGAAAAACAGTTGTAAAACATCCTTAAAATTCATGTATAGTTTTCAGAATAGAAAATTATAAAAGGCCTTATGTAAAGGGAATAAATATTCAGCAGTAAAATTGAGTTTTCCCAACTACAGTACACAGATTGAGCTCTCTATGAGGATATTCTGCAGGAAAAATAGAATTTTAACACAACATAATGAATTTATGTTGGTTATTTAAATCAGAATTATTCATTCCTCATTAGGCTGTTTCACTTCAAAATTTTAGTAACATATCATGCCAAATTTTAATTATTTTTCATGTCATTTCAGATGAGTTTTAAAAAAGCAAGGTATTGCAAAAGACTTTAATCACAAAAATGAATGATATAACAGTATTTTAGTAGCATAAATTTATTTTGCATTGTGGCATTTTTGTATTAAATATAATTTAAACCCTCCCTTAACATTTTACCTTGAACAAACAGCATGACATTAGCAGGAAATTATACACATTAAATAATTGCTTGATCATAAAAAAAGAACTCATTTAAAATTTAAAAGAGAAAATAAAGATTACTCACCACACAATGTCTTAGGACACGATTTTCTTTCAGGTGTATTAGCAGCTGATGCCACTCAAAGTTGAGTAAGCCTGAGAAAGCTGATGAATTGAGCTGTGGACCCTTAGATGTGACTTTTATATATAGGTCTTCCACACACCAAGAGGGGCTTTTTTGTCACAGATGACGTCACTTCCAATTCTCTGAATTTTAACTATAGGATCAGAGCAGTACACACACCCATGGGGCGGTGCTCATTCCTCTTAAATTTTAGATAATTGGATATTAAAAGGAAAACAGTGCGGGGCTGGGAAAGGGTTTATGCAAAGATTTCTAACAAACAGTGAACTGTAATTCTGACTGCATTAAAGAAGTTATATCACAAAAAAAGACTGATTTCAAAGATTTATAGTAAAGCCATCATCTTCTTTGAAAGTAAAATCTGAAAATAAGTATATTTGTTATAACCATAATATTGGCACAATTGTGATGAGGATTATAATTAATCATATTACATTATGCTTACTTTACAACCAATCCATATCATTCCTGATCATCTTGCAAAAAAATATGCTTTTCTTAAAGTGTTAAAAATATTTTGAGAACATACTCTTAGTACATAATTTTAAAGGCTTCAAAAGTGAAATTACTTTAAAATTTCTTTCAACTTACATTTTATTTATGCACTCTAATTTGCAATAAAAAACATCTGAAAAGCAGTAACTGTATGCCAGACTTTACATATATTATCCCACTAAGTCTTCACAGCAATCCTTTAAAGTAAATACTATAATTAGCCCCATTTTTTCATGAAGAAACTGAGGTTTGGAAAGTGCAGAAGACGGAGTTCAACAAAGATCTTTATGACTCCAGAGCCAATTTGATTCTTACTATCTCGGTTTCCCCTTAGAAATGGAGCCCTTCTTTGAACCCCAGTCATCCTGACTCTAATTTGCTTAACCCTTTGCAACCTCTTTGCCCAGGAGTGGAGTCTTGTCTCTCATGCTCCCCACCTGGTGATGGAGGGCCTGCTCTAAAACCTAATGGAGGCAAGATGCTGCCACCTGTCTAATTTCAAATATTGCTCCAGCCTGGTCCCTGTCTTTCAGCCCAAAACCCTTTGAATCCCCTTGGTATATCTAAGGTTCATTTAGGCAGCTTGCCTTCCAACTGAAGTACCAGAATTGGACCAGTACTCTAAGCTCTGCTCTATCTAGGCTTCATGTTTTCCTCTTTCCTGCTAATTCTTGCCAAGGTTTGACTTTACATCAAGAAGAGCTGGTCTAAATTTAACATACCTGTACAGAGGCTGTGAGAATGAAAGATACGTGTTAGTGCTGCTCTGGGAAATCCTCTACATCAGGCAAACCTCATTTGGAGTATTGTTCCAGGCTACATTTCAGAAGTGTTAGAGACAAACTGAAACATGTCTGAAGGATATGTCTGGTGAAAATGTTGGTAAACATGGCATAACAGGAGGAGCTGAAAGAAACTGAAAAAGAAAAGTCTTGGAAAAGAAAACACTTGGGTTGATGATATGGCTGTTTTTAATTCTTTATAGGGCTACCATAAGGAAGAAGAAATATTTTCTGTGGTTTAAGAAGGAATTACTAGGAGGGAGGATATAGCTCAGTGGTAGAGCGTGTGCTTAGCAAGCACAAGGTCTCGGGTTCACTCCCCAGTATCTCCATTAAAAATAAATAAATAAGCCTAATCCCCCCCCAAATTAATTTAAAAATTAAAAAAAAACTCCAATAAAATTTTTTTTTAAAAGAAGGAAGTACTGAGTCCAATGGCTAAAAATTACAGGGAAGCAGATTTGGGCTCAACTTGGATATAATAATTGTCAAAATAAGGAAGCAACTACCTTCCTAAGTAGTCCTTCTAAGTAGTGAGCTCCCCATCACTGGGAGTATTCAAGTAGAAGCTAGGTGAGAATTTATCAGGGACATTATAGAAATTCATACATAGCAGAGGGTTAAACTAAATAACCAAGGGGTTCTTTTTGACTAAAAAAAAAATCTACTGTTTTGATCTTTTAAAAGTCCCCTTCTCATGCAAAGTCTAAACCTGAAGTTTCTGTACCATTTTTTGTTATATTCTGTGAAGAAGAAGGAGAACTGGAAAAAGAAATGGTTTTATAAACACATTTTATATTGTTATTATAAAGCCATGTTTAACATTTTAATTTGGAGATTTTTCACCCCCTTCTTAGGGTAAGTCTGACATAACTGACAGCCTTCCAGGAGCGATGCAATTAGTGCTTTCACTGTCTTCCTCCTATTACACTTATTTAAGAATAAATTTTCATATTGAAGACAAACACATTATTAACTACTTTTACATGAAAATGAACAGATGTTTATTCACTCAGAAAATGCATTGAGTATATACTAGATATTTGCCAGAGGCTGTGTTAATCACTTGATGATTGAGACATGATCCTTGCCCTCAAATTTGACACATAAATTGGAATGTAAGGTGCTAGGTGTTACAATTGCTATATGAATAAAAGCTTATAAAAAGCACAGAGGAAGAAGTGACTAAATTTCCCTGGAGCTGTTGGAAACTGTTGTACTGAGAAGCTGAAGTGTTCTCAAGGATGAACGTAGTTTTCCACAAGAGAAGGTGAGAAAGGACAAAAGGGAACAAAGCGTGTGCAGAGGTGTGGAGGCAATGAAGACTGAATATGTGCTAGTGGAAGGAGAGGGGAGATGGGTAATGACCCTAAAAAGTAAGTGTGGTACAAATTAAGGAAGGCTTCTCTGTGTGTATGCCAAGGAACCGTACCACCTAGTCCTCTCTAAACTCATGTGTGCATTAGTAACATTTTTGTGTCCTTCAGATTTTGTAAAGTACTACTTTGACCTTCCCACAAAGAGATAGTGCTGCCAAGATTTGGCACATAATTTATCTGCACCATCAGCCTCTGGGACTGCAGACGTTAGATAGAAGGAAACCATTTAGGAATAAGAGGGCTAGGGGCTATGTGGGCGCAAGAGGCTGGTGTCACAGTGACAGAGAAGAGCTGAGCACAATTTTTTGCTTTGAAAAAGCTCAGCCTTTCTCAGCACTCTCAAGTTCTCTGAAGCTAGGGTCAAACAACCCACTGCATCCCTCACATTTGGGAAGGTTAAAGGGCCGTGTGTTATTTCCTCTTGCATTATGGGAGGTTTAATTTGAGACTGACACTTTTTCCTTCTGTTTGTTCAACAGGAATTAGGATAGCTTTGGGGACTTAACACCAAGAAGAAACTTCCAGGGTCAGGAAATCCAGCTGTCACTCTCCTAATTCCCTATTTTGTTCACAGATTGGATGGTGGATTATTTTAGCAGTTGACTTACAATTTTGCTTTAAGCTCTCATGTGGAATATTGAAGTACTGAATTTTTCTTGATTGGCCAGAAAAAACTTTCCTCCCTCCTGTTCACCAGCCCCCAGACTTTTCTGTTGTTACAATGAGCAAAAAAGCATTAAAGGATAGCACATAATAATTGTTGAATTTTCCAAGTGTTTTTTGGTAATACTCAGTTCTTACTTTTCTTCCTCCATAATCTTATATTGATAGATATTGTGAGTGTGGTTCTCTAATGGGCAGCATTTAATAAGCCATTGATCTCTTTGTATGTATGAGCTGTTATAAACCCTGGGATCCATTATACCTGAGTAGCCCTTCAAAGATGAAATATGTAGCTACCTTCACAAATAAATATTATTTGTTGCTTTTTGTCTATTGTATCGATGAGCATCCATCCCTGCATGTGTTTACAGCCTTCTCCATGTTAACGTGGAATGGAGGAGTGTTAAGATGACAAGCACTGTCTTCAACATCAGAAAGAGGCATCTCTACAGGTGGGAACTGAGGGTAAATAATAAGATATTGGATGCCGGGGATGAGACTGGCTTTCTAAATACAGCAAGGAATGTCTCTGTCTTGTCACAACATAAACCAGGGTGCCACTTGGAGAAGACTTAGGATCTGTATTGACTGAAAAGATTTCTAGTTATGCAAATGCCTCTGTAATGTTCTTATGACATAGGTAAGGAATGAACAAGTCCTTGAGTGTCCCTCATTCAAAACCTCCTGAGATTTAATCTCTTTCTACCCTTTGTTTCTTAAAGAAATAGTGGCGGCGGAGGTGGGGTAGTAGGCTAAATTGAGAGTATTCATTTTTATTTTGGAACCATAAGGATATTGGACAGCTATAGCAATTTAATGAAGAAATGAAGAAGTCTCACATTTTTAGTGACCCTTTTCAGTGGGCTGACCAGACCACTGATGTCACCATTGGTTCTAAATATTCTTTTTTTAAGAAGACACTAATGAACTTACCTACAACACAGAAAAAGACTCACAGACATAGTAAACAAACCTATAGTTAAAGAGGGGAAAGGGGGTAGGAAGGGATAAATTGGGAGTTCGAGATTTGCAAATTTTAACTACTATATATAAAATAGATAAAAAACAGACTTCTGTATAGCATAGGGAACTATATTCAATATCTTGTAGTAATCTATAATGAAAAAGAATATGAAAAAGAATGTATGTATATGACCGAAACATTATGCTGTACACCAGAATTTGACACACTGTAACTAATGATACTTCAAAAAATAACAATAAATATTATTTTTTATTGTCTCATAAATGTACTCATACTTTTCAGACAAAGTGTTTTCATTCGGAGTTCAGATAATATGTTCTCCTCAGTTAATGTGAATTTTCAGTTGGAATACATAGCTTCTTAGTTTTGCTCCATTCTCCCTTTACCCTCAGTAGATATCATATGCAGTTTATGATACCAAAAGAAAACAAAATACATCTTTCACATCCCTTCCCAATAGCCAACTGTAGCCAACAGGCTGTGTACCTTGATTCTTTCTTTATGTTTTAAAATAGTGTGAGGGAAGAAAAATCCAGGACAAGGGGTATTGATTTTCCATTAGTGAAGTTCTAAGTCAAATGATGTGGTCTGAGTTTAGGAATGCCAACAGGGCCTTCTAAATTACCGTTTCAATCCAATGTAGTAAAGATCTGTTGAGCTCCTAAAATCAGCCAGTCAAAGAAACAGTAGCAATTTCCCCTGCTCATAATTTTCTGCCTGATGTTTGTTTTCATGTGATTTTTTTTTAAGTTTGAGCATCTTAACTTTTTAAATCTCAAATTCCACATCACAAAGTAGAATACTGCCTTCCCTCCTTTGAGTTATGAGCTTTCAGATATGAACTATCATATATGAAAGTGTTCTGCATGTAACTGGCATTCAAAACATGCATGTTAAATCTAAATCTTCCCTTGCCCATCCTCTCACATGTCCACATCACACCAGTAGTCCCCAGTAATAAACATGGAGAGAATTGAGCTTCAGGGCCCAGTCTGAGCTCTGCCTCCAAGACCTGCCAGCCCAGACCCCTGAAGTGCAAACAACTCTGAGGCAGTAGGTAGTTATGATGTTCATAAATTTCATTCTGAATTTTCTAATTGCACAAGAAATTATAAAATTTAAATTAAAACTAAGTATACCTTTGTATAGTGGGAGCCTAATTCCCCACTCTAAGTGTGCACTGGGTAGAGTGACTTCTTCCAAAGAATACAGTATGGAAAGGGGAAAGGGAGTAGCTTTATAGAGAAATCTGACAAACGCTGCTCCAGCCAGGTGATCAAGGTCAGTATCAACAGTGATAAGTCATGATAGAAGGTACCCTAGATATTATGTAATGAAAGTAGCACTCTACCTCTGTGATTTTCCTCCCCCAAACCCATATCCCCAGTCTAATCATGAGGAAAACAAGAGGCAAATTCCAACTGAGGGGCATCTTACAATATACCTGACTAGCACTCTTCAAAACTGTCAAATCAGCAAAAATTAGGAAAGTCTGAGGAACTATCACAGCCAAGAGGAGCCTAAGGAGACATGACAAATAAGTGTAATATGGTTTCCCAGATGAGATCCTACAACAGGAAAAGGACATTAGGTAAGAACTAAGGAAATATGCATCAATTATAGTCTTTAATTAATAACAATGTATCAATATTGACTCATTATAACAAATGTACCATTAATTTAATATGTTGACGGTAGGGGAACCTGTGTGTAGGGGTGGATATATGGGTATGCTCTGTGCTATCTGGTCAAACTTTTTGTAAATATAAAACTCTTCTAAAAAATGAAATCTACTAATTTTTAAAAGTTCATAGATATGGCAAACCAAGATAAATAAATGACTGGAAATTTCAGAAACAAAAAAGTTTAGGAATTAAATTGAGAATTAGAGAGGTGACTTGAGAGAGGAAAATTCAGTCAAATAAGATTATTTTGATCATCTAATCCACTTTCCACAGCACTTCTTATTATGCATTTTTTTTTGGTTCTCATAGTATCTGTTAGGTAAATGTTATTTCTATTTATCTTTTAAGTGAGAAGTTAAAGCTTGGACTTAGGAAATTACTGGTTCAAGTTTACTTAGCTAGTGAGGGAACAAGGTCTGAAT